GAGCAGCCACTGCACTCCAGTCTGGGCGACAGAGTGAGACTCCGACTCAAAAACAAACAAACAAACAAAAACATCAAAGAAGCCTGGCATGGCAGCTCACACCCGTAATCCCAGCACTTTGGGAGGCTGAGGTGAGAGGATCACCTGAGCCCAGGAGTTTGAGAGCAGCCTGGAGTTCAAGACCAGCAACATGGCCAGCCCTATCTCTACAATAAATACAATTGTCCGGCGTGGTAGCGCTTGCCTGTGGACCCAGCTGCTTAGAAAGCTGAGGCAGAAGGGCCACCTGAGCCCAGCAGGTTGAGGCTGTAGCAGGTTGAGGCTGTGGCAGCTGTGATCGTGCCACTGCACTGTGACAGAGTGAGACGCCAACTAAAAGAAATGACAAATGTATGTGGGGGTAAATATTTTTGTTTCCTTCAGCGCCAGCTGTCTGTCATGGGATGCTATGCCAGAGTCAGGTTAGTTTGGTATCTTATTGCCACTAGGTCAGTTTTGCCAGTCCTATGATCTACATTTTGATGTTAATGCAGGGCTGTTATGCCAAACAGGAGAAGGTATGACAAGGCATGTCTAACCTGCCACCCTGTCATGGCCTGGATGTCCTTTTTCAGGTTTCCCTGAGGTCCCCTTGGCCTAAGTAGGAATGGCTAGACAGAAGCCACTAAAGCCCTCACTGGCCAGGGGGACAAATTAGAAGCAGGACCTCGAGCAAGTGGATTGCAGAAATAGTGCCCTCCTTGGGCACTTAAAGCACAAGGGACTCCCAGGTGAGTCATGGTGAACGACTGGGAGTGCTGACCCTGGCCATGGGGTAGCCCCTGACCACTGCTGCTAAACCGGGCTGTCTCTGCTCAAACAGATCAACACAGTCTTTGGCACTAGGGGTACGGCTATTAATCCATCCCCATCAAGAGAGAGAACTGAAACCATCTGTATTCACATGGGAGGAACAGCAGTTTACACTAACTCTCTTGTCTAGGGGCTGTGTTAACAACACTCCTC